CGATTCTGAAAGTGACTCTTATTATTTTTAATGAATGCAGTAATAGGTTTCTATAATATACGGTGGTTTGTAATTCGAGCCATAGAAAAAAATGCCAAATCAGATGAGATACCAGGAACATGGAAAAATATGTTGACATTTATTTTTTTACATTTAACCTTTTTATGTTTATTTATTGCTACCAATGATCTTGTATAGAGGATGTTATCTTATTTTACTTAAAATTTTTCTCTGAGGTGCGAGTTTTGAAACATACTGTATAATTTTGGAATTTTTATAGCTTGAATTTTTTTAAGCTTTTTTTATGTTTCTGGTATAAAATAAAATGCAACAATGTTTATAATAACTAACACCTACTACTACTATTACAATTACTAAATTTGAATACACAGGGAGTAATTGGGTAGTCCTTCAGAGTACTGAAAAATTACTTAAAAAATTTTGACATTTATTTTTTGACATTTGACATTTTTTATGTCTATTTAATGATACTGATGATCTTGTATATGTTTTTTATAATTATTTAATAAAGGTACAACAATTTTGCCAATAAAAGCCACAAATAACACTAAACACAGTTTTAATAGCCAGTACTTGGAAAATTTGAAAAGTTACTTTTCCAACAAATATAAATAGAGTCAAAGTGCAAAATTTAAATTCGAAATTTTTATAGATAGATTTTCTTAAACATTTTCTTTGTTGTCTAGGGCACCGTCCGATGATACAGTCAGGGAGGTGCGCGACTTTCCAGACACTCTGTATTTTCCTTTTAAGGCTTAACTTATCGTTTGCCAAGATAGGGAATTTCAATGCATTTTTCGAAAAGGTTTTTCTCGGCTATTATAAGGAATTTTTTGGTTTTTATTTTTTTGATGAAACCATTTTAGATATTTCTAGGGATATTGTTATGTAGCTAATTTAAATTCTTATTTTTTATATATTTTTTAACTTATTTTTTATAATAAAATTATAGTATTTATATGGAAACTAACAATGTCCTTCCTACATGTACCAAAGACCTTAAGAAAAAAAAAATGAAATCATTCGGATAATTAATAACTGAAAAATCTCTTGTGGAAAATATTATTAACTTTCGTAGTGTGAAAATCGTCTTGTCTCTCTCAACCCTAGTTCTTTTTCACAACAAACTGAGCTTACCGTAAGCAGGCCCCCATCACCGGTTTTATCTGATTTATGACCTTACAAGGGATGTTTCGCATCTATAAGGAAACAACTAAAAGTACAAGCTGTAAAATTAGGTCATTTTAAGAATTGATGTAAAAGTTGAATAAATTTAATAAGACAATGTATTTACACCAGATAATTCTATTTTTCACCAAAAATTAAGTCTAATTATTATACAGAAATGGTAGGAATAACTTGAAGCCCTTTTTTCCTACTGGATACCTGCTATGGGTTTTTTTATCCGTTAGGGGTAGTTACTGATATGATGAAGTTTACTTATTGTCTTCATAACAAAATACTGTTTATTGCTTGAAGGTATGTAGGTAGAGAAGAGGCTTATTAAAAACAAAAACATTAATAGAGTTAATTAATGAACGGCTTTACACGTAGGTGTAAGGATGAACCAAAAGTAACTCACAAAATTCATGGGTCATTTTTCAAAAAAATCCTTAAACAGGTCGATTTTATTTATATAAATGCTACATTTTGACAGTATTGTAACATTTATGACGTCATTGGATTTTGAGTAATGACGTCATCATTAATTATTTAAATGGTAACTAACAAAAATATTACCAAAAACAGTAAAGTTCGAGGATTATCTAAAAAAAGTGACCCATAAAATTATGAATTTTGTGCACTACTTTTAGTTTACCTACGTGCCATTGCTATTGCTACACTGGCAACATCGCAACTTGCGTTTTTGAGGTGAAATAGGTTAGAAACATTTGATTTTTGTGTAAAAGAAGAATCTGTTTTACAACTGAGTCAGAAAGTTTTACTATTTCACACAGAAACAGCATTGTGAAAAGTGACAGAAGTGACGATAGTTATGGCACGAGACATAGACCAAAAATCCACAGAAATTTAAAAAAGCTAATATTTAAAGTAAAAATATTATAAGTGTCTAATTAGTTTGTTTATTCTTTGTCACTGTCAAAATCTACGGTTTTTTTTTTCTGTGTAACGAGAAACTGTTTGGCATTTCTCAATACGAAACGTCAGCTTATTTTTAAAGATTTAAAGCTATTTAAAGCCTTGATGAGTCTAATTGGAAGAATAAAATGTTGTATTTAACTTGTGTAACTTCTTGTAAATCGGTTTATTTATTGCACCTAGTGGATGACAAACCACTCGTGATTTAATAATCCACCTGTATAGCGTTCGATTTACACTCAAACTCGTCGAATATAACTATAATAGTTATTTTAATTATGTCAATTCGATTATTAATTGGTTTTTGATATAGACGCAACATAAAAAATATCGTACTCTAAACTTGACCCTGAGGGCTTATTTTGTTTATTTATTAATACAAATCTTGCTTCAAATATATATCTCAATTGTTCATACTGTCTGACAATAATAACAGCAATTCAAACAACAATAAGGTTTACAATTTATTTTTAAGTTGTTTATGGTATGTATTCGGTCAAGTTTGAGTTGCAAAGTGTTCTATATGGAATGTTAATTTTATCAGTGTGTATGATGTTAAGGTTTTTGGGGCCGTTGTATTTTCTCCTCATGCTAGTCTCAATTATTTTTTTTATCCACAATCACTCTATAAAGAGACTTTATTCTACACTTTAGATGCGTATAAAGTACCACTTTATCCACCAGTGGAATAAAGTAACTTTATTCCACTGTTAGTAACCAGCGCACTGCGTAACAGCTTACTACGTTTAACCGAAAGCACATTTGGCGTGACGTTTAAATGTTAGTTTAATGTTTAATTAAGTTTGGAATAATTTGGGCCTGTGATTGTGGATAAAACGTTATATTGCAGTCGTGTGTTAGTCGCGTTTTATCCACTTAAGAAAATTAACCGCTCGAGCTGACGTTCTTGCGGTTAAACATTTTTGCTTGGGTAAAATGCTATCTAACGCACTCTTACAATAAATAACTATTTTCAGTACTAGCTGTAAAAGATACCATTATTTTAGTATATCGAGAGGTTATGAAGTTGTTTTTCTCTCCTAGTAGTCAGTAATCATTTTCATTATGAACCTAGGGCTATATTACCATCACAAGTACTAACGGAAGTATTCCGAGATGAAATTAATACAAAATCGAATAAAATAATCTTAATTTTTTTCATCAAAACATGAGAATAACTCCAACTCTAACGCTTCTGTCTATGTCAAAACTATCAAAAGAACAAATGGGTTTATTTCTTGTTAAAATACTATCGGTAATGAGGCAAATTTTAACACTTTTTTTCCTTTTTTTGCAGTTTCCTTGTTATTTTAACAAATACATATTTTATATTATGAAGTTAGGAAATTCCTTTAATAATTGCAGTACAAAAATAACATAACTCCATTTATGGTAAAAATAAAATAATACTTCCAAATTAAGGTAATAACTCAGGTAAGTAATTAATTACTGTAGGTAATAGTGAATTAACAAAAATAAGAGTTGTTAATTAGATGTTACATTTGAAGCAACAATTGCATCACTAAGTAAGGTTATATTTTTTACCGTTGTATTTCTGAGTAAGAAATATGCTAGTAGTGAAAAAAATATTATATAAAATACGGTAGAGAAGACTTTTATAGCCCCGCATTTATTATTTTCTGATATGCCTAGCATTGAGCTATAAAAAATCTCTTGTCTACCTTGTGACATAATATACTATTTATTGAAAATCATAAAGTAATAATTAAATTACCTTGCATGTGAAAAGCTGGAAAGTGTCTTTTCAACTTTATTTAATCATTGATATTAAATATCCCGTTTAAGTTGGGAAGTGGCCACTTCCCGACTCGAAAACTGCTAAGAAAGTGATCACTTTCCAACCTAAACTGTCATATGTCATGTTGCTCAAAATTTGCTAAGTTCTTTATTGGCTTTCTGTTCGTTAAGAAGAATGATGATCAATAAAATAGTATACAAACCTTGGTGGTTGTTGTTTCACCGTACTTGGTTAGCAAATTTTGCCTTGAAGCATCTTCCACCATGTACTTAATCTACTATTTATTATTACTAATTAACTATTAGCTTGAAGTTATCACTATTTAGAAATTATTTTTTTAAATTTTTGGCTTAATAATACATTTTTTGTATTGTAAAAAACATGCATGCATAACATAGCAGTCTGTCAAAATCTAAAATTTTGTGATAGTTATAAACATTAACTGGAAGGCAAAAGTAATCTATGTTATAGTTTTAAATAAATAATACATTCAGGTCTAATTTTTGTGATTTTCTGTACCAGTTTAACACAATCTTTAAAAATAAGCGAAATTCTTGACAACAATAAGCTGTGATTAATGAATTTTAATTTTTCTGGTTTACGTTAAAAATGGTGGATGCGCCGGCATAATTTTCTAAAGAAAGTGATGTAACGTATTAATAATGTGATTTTGCAATTTCATGTGTAGTTTTAATGCTCTTACTATTTTCTGCGTCAGTTTGCAGAGATTTCAAATGAAGAGCATCGTTTTTTGTCGGATCAAAAATTGTAATAATATGGAAAATATTTTTATAAATGGAATCTTTAAGTAGAAAAATAATTGTATTGAACCACAAAATTACTTTAAGTGATAAAATAATCGTCTGAAGTCCAGCTTTAGTCGCATGAGTGATCAAGAATAAGAGAAACAGAGCGGGAAATTTGAAAAATTTTACAATCAATAAATATAAATAAAATAAATCTAGATTCAATTTACAGGCCGATCTCCGCCCAATTAACTGGAAGCCTGTATGTAGCAAAATAATAAATTACCAGCGATTTGTTATAGATAATAAAAATTGAGTATACATTACATTCCTATTACTTTCTACCATTCACACTATCAGCAATTTCACGGTTAATGTCTCCTAATCCCCGCCTTATTCTTATCAATACAATAAACACGTTTACTTTTTATTTCATATCCTTAAGTTTTATGTTGTCGTTTATAAAAAACTTTTATTCCAAAATTGGAAACGGTGCTTTAAAACCCCAAGTGGAACTCGTGGAGTTTGACCCAGAAATGAACAACACGGGTGAGTTTGTTTATGTTATCTTCAAGGTCATGTCTGTTATTTAATTACCGATAACCTTATAAATCATAGTTGAAATAAAGAATTTAAAATTAGTCGCGGTGGATGCTCACATTGCAGTTATTGAATTTGTTGTTTGAATATTTGCATTTCCTGTGTCATTTGATAGATTTTATTGCATTTTTGCAACAATGTCACGTTTATGTCAAGCTAAAATCAATCGTTGAGGCGTGAAATAAAATCTTTACTTTAGAGTATGTACAATATTATGCTTTTAACTAAATTTTTGATCAAAGTGACTTGTGATCCAAGAAGATAAGTTGGCAACACTGAATTATTTGGTGATATTAGATTGTGTCGTGGTAGCCATGCAAGCGGCCCCTCAGAAATGAAACACACTCAATGGCTCCATAGCCTCCCACTTAATGGAGCTGAATTTGATAGTTTAAGTTGCCAACTTAATTCTAGAATAATAGAATACTTCGATCAGAAATTTATTTGAAAGTATGGTACGTGGTAATCAAGAATGTTGCGTTGACAGTTTTAAATTGAAACTTGTTGCGTCAAATGTCTGTCAAGCAAAACCATTTCTGGTTACAGTGTCGCAAACAATTGTATAAGAAAATGCTTTTAATTCTGTTGCCAACTCAAACAATAGATGTGATTGAGTGAACAGTGTATTACTGGTTACATAATTGCGGTTTTAGGAAACCTGTAAAGCCTTCTTTAACCCATAATTAAGTAATTTATTTCCATTTGTTCAACTCGATACAATTTTATGATTATTGGGTAAGTAATTATTTCTAGTTTAAAAGTTACAGAATAATGAGTGTGCATTATTTAATCGCAATTGAGCTTGTCCTTGTTGGTTATTAAGATAGTAGATCTAATATTATTAATTTTAATTTAATATTAATTAATTAATCTAATATTATTTTTTACTTAAACCGCAATTACATTTTTATGGAAATATTTAATTAATTAGTTTTATTATAAAAAATAGTGACGCTTAATTATTGTTTATTTTTGTTTAACTTTTGTATGGATTTTAGAGTTTTGTTGAATTTTGATTTTTTTAACTTTTTGATTGTTAATTTAAACTTTAGTACCTATAGGTGAGTAAAAATTAAGAATATTTTCGTAAAACATAAAGTTATAGCAAAACTGTATCTAATCTTTTTGTATTTTATATCTACAGTGTGTCTCCGATTCTTGTAAAAGATAAAAAAATTTGATTAAAATTTTTATTTTTGGGGTTTAGCTCTGCTTGGTTAAAGATTAATTTCTAACATAATTTTACTTTTGAAACATCAAAATGCCCTGGAAAAAACTATTTTCCTGTAAAGTGGTTTTTATGTGGCAAATACGACAAAAAGTTATTAAGAAAAGTTGTTTAGAATTAATTAACGTTTAGGCTCTTATATTAAATTTCTAAATTATTGACTATAATTTTTTTTCAAGATAATAGTTTTTTATTAACTGAAACTTCAAAAAATTATTTAGTACTAATAAACTAAATGTCAATTTTTTTAGTCGTTGAAAATATTGTTAATTGAAAATTGAATTGTTAATTAATAAACATAAAAAATAAAAAATCATAGTTGGCAGATGATTTTCAAATTTAGTATATGGGCTTGGATGTTGATTTTAAACAACTTTTCTTTTTGTCGTATTTGATACAAAAAAGGCATTTTACTCTACAGAAAAATAGTTTTTTTTTTAATTTCCAAGGTATATTTAATATAACAGTAAAAAATAATTACAATGAAATAATCATTATTTATTTATTTATTATTATTTGCTGGAACTGTATTTATAATTTTCTCCGTGTATTATTGGTTGCATAACCGACAAAAACGTAAAGAATCAGAAAAAATATCTAGATAATATGTGCTGCTAAATAAAAATTGTATTTTCATTAAGAATTAATTCCAAAAACCATTTAGGGTAAACAATGTATATAATTTTTATATCATATTTGAATTTTCGTAGATTATGGTTGGTTAGTGGATACTCTAATTTGGCTTTAAAATATGAATATCGTACAAAATATTTATATTTTTCTATAATAAAACGATCAAAAGATCTCATATTAGAGTGGATTCAATAATAAAAAGCGGCAAATTCTCTTTTGTTTTTTACTTTACATTGATAATAATTTATAATACCTAACTCTGTATCATATGTACAGAGTGGTTATAAATGATTTTCATCTAGCCAGCTGTGAATTTTCCATGTAAAATAAAAAATGCCGCTTTACGAAAATAGGGGTACTTATTTGTTTCAACTCAAAATTAAAAAATCGCCGTTTACTAAGCGTCCACTTCGAAAATAGACTTCAATTATAAACTTGTTTTCTTCCAAAGTATACATTATTATCAATTCTTATTGGTAATAAGTTAAAACAATAAAAGTTTAATTAACCACAATTTATTATTAATGAATAAGTGACACTAATGACAGAACTAGAGCTTTCAAAAAAGTTGAGCGGCACAAATAAAGTTACATGCAAATAAAATCCAAAGCTGGCTAGATGAAAATCATTTATAACCACTCTGTAGAATGACGTGTACTTCCCGATAATTTTCTTCAACGAGCAGAATAACAAATGCAACGTTTTGGTACTTACTCGTAATTGTCTGTGCGGTTTTGCGAGTCTAGTAGCTTAGTTTTCTCTGACTCCATGTTGTTACTTCATGAAAATTACTCTATTAAATATCACGTAAGATTTTATATACCTACATTATTTTTTAAACAAGTTTCACTCATTTTTGACCCTAATGTGTCATTCTAACAGTGAAAATAAAACTCCTGCGCATATAATGAAGACATCAATAATAAATAACAGTTTTAGAAACAATCGATTCTTGTCTCTGTCTCTAATAAATAATAATCAATAGTCAGCTATCATCTTGCATTTATCAATAGAGTTGTAATTTTACTGTACAAAATCAAAAATTAACTTTTAGTAAAAAACTGTGTTGTCTCAGGAAAGGAAATAATTTCAGGGTACAGGTAGATAAGATATCTTCTATTTAGGACATTTTTTGGTCATTTAAAGAAAAATTACTTGTAATTTTCTTTTGTTTAGAAAAACAAAATAAATTAAAAATAATACATTATTAATACAATTTCTAAGAATGAAAAAGCATTTTCGAAAAACTTACAAATCTTTTATTATTTAAACATCATCAGTTATTCGATTTAGCTTTCTGTCTTTTATAATGTGATTATAAATTTTTGCTACTTTATACAGGGTGATTCACGAGGAATAATGAGCCTAACCAAATTCTCGATGCAACCAACATTACATTTTCGTAGGTCAGGTAGTCAGTTTGTCAGTTTTGACATTAAAATAATGAAAAACAGAAGTAATTGAAATACCAACTCAATAATGGGTATAATAAAATACGAATTACGGAAGGCACTCATTCAAGTTTCATCCAGTGGTACCCCTCGCCTTGATAACTTAACAGGAACCCAATTTTCTCAAAACTAACCTGTTCGTGTCAGAAGATGCTTTTTCTTTCGGGATATTATTGGGCATCACATAGGAAGCAAGAGATGCATTTTTCAAACATTCTCCATAAGCTAAAATCATGTCAGTCTTCTCATCATTGGAATAAGTCCACATTTTGTTCAGTTTATAATAAATTTGTAGCGTTTGTCAAAAATGACAATGATGATGATAATTGGCATCTTGGATTCAAATTATATTTTTTTTAAAAATGTCACAAAGCAACTTGCGTAAATGTAATGGTGGTTGCATCTAGAATTTGGTCAGGCTCATTATTCCTCGTGATTCACCCTGTATATTTTTTTTAAACAAAAAGTAGAAATTCATCATTATTTAAAAATTTACGTCATTGGTATTATAAAAATAATATAAAAGAGGATTTTTTGATTGATTTATTTAATTTACTCTTCAAATTTAAAGTGGGAAAAATATAGCACGTAATTGTTTTAACATTTATTTAAGAAACTTAAAATCTCTAACACAGTTGCTCATAAATAATCACAAATATAAACAAAACAAAATAAATTTCTAACAATTCGACATTAAAAATGACTAGATAAAGACTAGTATTATTTTTACAGACGGTAATACTTTCCATTTATTATACACAACAAATCTTGTTATATTATCAACTATACAAAACAAGAACAACATAACAAAGTAGGTAGTGTAATTAAAAATATTGATTTAGTATTTATCTCAGATTTTTAAATCTATGAGTCGACTTTAATACTGATCGGTTTATTATGTAAGATATGCATTTGACTCCTTTGTGATCATATAAAGAGATTGTATTTTTACCCTGTGATTTAGCATATTTTCTAAACTTAAAAACAATGAAGCAGATTTTCAAAGCACTTCTTACATTGCTCAATACTTAAAAAAATGGAATGTATTTTAAAACTGTATCCTTTTTAACATTGTTTAGACATTTTAAACTTGAATAATGTCATTTTAACAGGTGTGTGAACTAACAAGCAGCCAACAGTAATAAAATAATCGCTCCGCACCATCGACTACTCTAATTATCACATTCAGACATCACATTGAACTATGACTAATGCAAAACAACGTCATGTGATTGTACTGTTTTCTGCTTCAGCAAAACCGGTCTTGGTCTGTCTTTGTGAGGCCACGTGAGCAAAATTTGGTTCTCATTCTCCAATTTCGCATCCAAATTCATGAAGATTTTCCCACTGGAAGTTTCAGACGTTTCCGACGAATCACTCCCGTTACTCGAATTGTCTAACAAAGGTTTCGTTGTAGGGACATTTCTCTCTTCGCACTCGCGCAACTGCCTCCATTTTCGTTCCAAAAGGGTGGTACTCGACAGGGAGTGCTTCCTCGTCATGCTTTCCCTCCTTGGAGTGTCGCTCTCCTCAGAGCAGGTCCTGGTGATGGTGATTCGGGGGGAACGTTTGGGAGTACCGTCGAGGATATTTTGGACCACTTCACACTTCTTGTCAGAGTCGGAGTTCCTGAAGAGCTTTTGGAGAAAGAGATTGGTGGGTTTGAGGCGGTTTTGGACCGGTTTCTCGTCTTCGGTTATAACCGAAATTTCGGTATCGCTGATGGGGACTTGTAAGGTGTTGCAACTTGACGTCTGTTTGAGTTTCTTGTCTTCGTCTTTTGTCAGGAAATTGAGACTGTTGGCTGAAGCCGGCCGCCAGGATAACTCCGTTGTGATTCTTTTAATTTTGTGTCTTTGGGGGCTATTGACGGCTTTTTGGACGTCAAGGAGGGCTTCGGAGAGACGGGTTTGCAAAGTTGGTTTAGTAAGGAATCCGAGAGGGGTTAGAGATGGCCTCCGGGACCCACAAGTCGATGGTGTTCTTGCTTGAATCTCTTGGTTGACTTCGCTTTTCGTCTGTTTCTTTCTCCAGTAGTTCTTGAAAGTTTTTCGCAAGGGTTTACTCTTCACTCCGTACAAAAAGCCGTTAACAGATGGCGAACAAGTGAGCAACGCCATGGCAGTTGTGAAGAAATGCGGATGAATTCGTTTGGAAATCTTCTCAAATGAGCCACTTGTCGCTTCCCAAATGATTAGACTATAGTACGGAAGATAGAGGAGTGCCAGCGAGCCGACCAATTGGAGTACTGAATAGATGGCGCTGCGGCCTTTGAATTTTGGCGGGCCGGCGTTTGGTGCTGTTACCGTTGGTACAAAAAATGGGTTTCTTTGGTGTGTTATTGTCACTTGAGCTGAAAGTGTCACTTCGTAGATTGCTGAGGCGATGCGGTGGCGGTGGTATCGAGCAATCATCAAAATCTGTTAATTTTTTATTAGTTTCGAGAGAGATGTTTTGTCGGTTTTACCTTGAGGTTGCAACAGATGATTAGAGTAGCGGGGAGGAGAAGTGTGAAGGCGGTGTATAAAGTTGAGTACCATAAGGTACCAGAACCGTAGGAGAAATCAGGGGCGCACGCCTCCAATCCGTAGATGTATGAATAGGGGGCTACTTTAAAAAACGGGGGGAGGCAGAGCAGGAGGGAGATGGTCCAGCCGATTGCCAAGCCCACGAGGACCTAGAAGAACTAATTTGTGATATTGAACAGTGTACAGTTAGATGGAAAATTCAATATTTTTTCAAGATATACTCGTAATTATTGAGTATTTTTCTGTGGTTTATAATAACGTCGTTAGTAGACCTCATTAGTATAACGATGATGGATAAAATTGCTGAAAAATTTTATTATGTTGATGAAAAATGTTCTGAAATTAATTTGTTCAGAGCTTGTTAGACAGAAGTAAATATTGCGTCCGTATGTTACACTAACATAAATGTGTCTTTGTCACGGATGAACTAGAGTCTAGTGCAATTCAAGTCGGGTTTATTATTATTATTATTATTATTTGGTTCATATGGTGCATGTTCACTTAATTTGCAAACTAATTGAAGTTTCTAGCAATCGATAATTGTCTTAATGAAATAAGTCTGAGGAATTCTGAACGAAAAACGTCTACATCTCAGATGTTAGAGAAAAAAAAAATTTTTTAACGTTGATACAGATGTTTTCAAAATGGATCTTTGCTTTAAAACCTTGATTTTTTACCAACTTACAATTTATTTTTTAAAGTTTGCAGTGAAATTATTCTATCATGTTTAAACTGCTCCTAGGTTTTAATTTATGGGAATATAATTCAATAGTCAACAAAATGCGAATTAGTAAAAATCTTTGTTAAAAATGCCCTTTTGAGGGTGCGCCAGAACTCGCGCTCCAGAGAAAAATTTCAGGTAAGAAAAGATACCAGGAACATGGAAAAAATGTTTAAAAAATTTTAATAGCCTGTAGCCAAAAAACTTGTAAAATTATTTTTCCTACAGAAAGTGCAAAATTTAAACTCTCATAACTTCGACATTTTTATAGATAGAATTTTTTAACATTTTTTTCATGTTCCTGGTAATTAACCTTATATGACGTTTTTCTCTGGGGCGCGAGTTCTGGCGCACCCTGTAGATAAAAAATTAATGAAAAATGCTAATCCAATTAAGATTTGATCCTATTAAATCTACTTGCAAGATTTAATTAGCATTTTGGCCTATCGAAATATACTTGTTTTAATTATAAAATTTACTTTTGGACTTATTGACTATACTGTTTTGCCAAGTTTTGGATGATCACGCGATTCTATTCAATAATCATGTCAGAATTGGTACATTTGAGCCATTTGCATACATAATAGCATTAATAGCAAACGAAAATAAACTTAATGATAAGTGGAGTTGTACTAAAAGTCGATGTCTTGTATTGATCGTTGCTTTTTTGATGATTTTCATTATTAAACGAACAAACAGGAGCGGGCGTTGGATAAACTGTACAAACAAAAGGATATTTGCTCAAGTTAAATACCATTACTTTATGAATTGTAATTGTGGATGCTGAAAAGAGCACAGAATTATTAAATCGCGCGGTAACAAGCGACTAATTAATTCAAATTAGGTTTTTATTAGAAAAAGTTTTCATAGTTTAGGAACATTTCAGCTACCTATATGTTATTAAATATTATCAAGTTTATTTTGATTTAATTATAACTTGAATAGTTGCGAACATTACAAAACCTTTTCCAACAATACCATTCGAATTTCTCATCACATATTTGGTGTTACTGCACGCCTCCTCGATTTAATCATTTTGTCAGAAGCTGAGGCTTATTTTCTCTTTGTTTTAGATTAGAATTTGGAAATTTTATGTAACCAACATTTCGAGGGCTTAGAGGCTAAGTGAGCAAAGTGAAAGTCGAGTAATGTGAAAAATAAGATAATGAAACACTTTAAATGTTTTTTGTATAAAAAAGTTTGCAAAGGTGAAAAACAAAATTATATAAAGTTTGCTTTTTTTTTAATGGAAATTAATATGTCAAAATTTTGGTGAAAAAATTGGTAGCAGCTTGTCTCCATAGCCACAAATTTTGTTTGCTCTTTGTTTTTGTCCTTAGAAATGTTGTTAAAAAATTATGGTTATGTGTTCAAATTGAGATGTTGTCAAAATTGAATCTTGTGTGCTTGTTTGCTCTTTGAAAGCGCTATAATTGAATACCTGAGGACAGACATCATTACCTAAGGTCTAAAGACAGAATTCAGTGCTAATAATTTTGACAGAAACACACCGCAAGTAAGTACAATGTTGTGGACAGAAATGAGATTTTTGCTACAAAAACTTTGAAGAAAAAGGATGTATATACAGAAAAAAGTTATTTAGCAAAAGATACAAGTAGGTATTATGATGATTGGCAATAAATTTTGTGTAATTTATTGAAATGAGCCCAGTTGATGATGCATTTTATAAATTCTTCTTCAGCTTTAGTTTCAAAATTGTAGCTTTTTCAACTCGTTCCTCAAAAACGATGCACAAGACACTAATTTAATTGCGTTCTTTCCGACGTTCTTCCTCATTCATGTTTATTTTGTATTCTTGTCAATTTCTTGCTAAAAATTAAGAATGTTTAGCAAACCTGCATTCTAAATTGCGTCTACATTTTAACGGGCCCTTTTTCTAACTTCCTGCTTGCGAACTATTCGTTTCCAAATTTCGAAAAACTGTTAGTGTACCGACTTTGTTTCTTTTTTGGTGTTTTGTCTCTAAATTTTCTTAGACGATTTTTTGTGTTGACGTTTAATGACATTGTTTTCAAAATAATTCAAAAAACCGGAACTGCCACTTCCTTTATTAAAATTACCATAAATGAATTTACTAGTGATGCCAACGTTGACTGTTTGGCATTTCCATTAAAAAAAAAAAAAACTTTAGTTTAATTGACTTACGTGCATTGCCAACTGAAAGATTTAACTATTGTTAAATAAACACTATATTAGTGTCCTCGGAACAACATAAATCATATTGAGAAAAATTGTGACTTACGCTGATTGACTTCTATTTCTCCCTCTATTTCTTTACAAAATATTATTTTACTGTAAGTAATCCAATAATGTTGATTAGAAATTGCTGTACATCGGAAACTAGATAATTACATCGAAATTGATGTAATTTTATAGCACTAATCAGGGAAATCTATTTGAACAACAGGTTGCTTGGTGTAAATCTAATTTTCTTCCTGTATTTTTACTTTTATTTAATTCGTGTAGGAAAATCGTGTTGTCTTTGTTTCTTATATTATAAAAGATTTGCAATTACAAAAGAGAAGACAACTTTTTTCGAAATAAATAAATTCCTACCTTCTTGGCATTGACGATGTGGCTGTAATGCAGTGGAGCGGCGATGGCGTAAAATCTGTCACAATTGAGGCCGCAGATAGTCCATAACGCTAAAGGATGCAATAGATTGTACAAAAAGCCGTGAAGAATGCACGGAAGGCCGTCTGACAACCATACCGGTTTAGAAAATCCCGGCACTGAGAACGCCAGAAATAAAACTCCTAAAAGGACGTCGATGGCTCCTAGGTGCAATAGGAGAATATTATTGGCAGTCGTCACCTGAAACAATTTAAAACGTGTCGATTCTAATGGATCAAATTTGTAGTAGAATTTTGATAATGTTTTTGCTGGTAGAAATTTTATTTGTTGGTGAGAAATTGATATATTTAGGACAGTAGTTCGAATGCGATTGAAGAAACTTGTTATTTTGTCAATTTTAGAGAGGAAATTATCTCGAGACGCCCATTTCCTTTTTTGGGAAATCATCAAACAGGAGAATAGAAAACTAGGTTGTTACCAGTCTAAATTTTATTGATTTTATCTATACAATTCGCTTTAATCATGAAAATATTTATTCATTTGGGAAAAAATGAATGAAATACAGATTTTTACACTTAAAATAAATTGGAATTGAGTGAACCGAATTTTTTAAATGTTTTTTGATATAGACAAGCTTCTTGATATAGCGTTTTACTCTTAAAATTGCAATTGAATGTATTGAATACATCAGGGTGTCCCAGCGAGTTGAAAAAGTACACTAGTGACCTTTAAATGGTAAAATTTAAAAAAATGTAGAGAACATTGATAGATACCAATCTAGTGCATCACTTAAAATTATTTTCAACTATACAGCATATCCGAAAAATAAGTTACGATACAAACTTGTTTTTTTTAAATGAAACACTGTATGTTTCTTGGCATTTTTGGTTATAGAATTTTAAATCAATGTTTTTACGCTAAACTTTTATTAGTCGATTTTGCTTAGTTTTAGAAATAAGACGTTTTTTTAACGAAAACATGCACTTTTTAAAAATATTACACAAAAACTAAGACAGCTAAATTTTTTCTTACTTCTGCAAGAAAGAAAGTACAGAATTTAAAGCGGTAGCATTTTTTTAGTATAAAGATTAAAAAATAAAGAAGTTTGTTAAAAGTTAAATAACTTAAAAAAATTAAATAAAACACCCTTTTTTAGTTTTGCATCTAATACATTGATAAATTGTCTGTTAAAAAAAACAAACTTTTCATTTTTTTAAATTGATAAATAAAAAGATATTTAACATTCAATATTAATTGTAGTAACAATCAATGTTTGAGCATTGTTAATACTATGGCAACCCTAATAGTTTTACAACGGATCACTTATCCGTTGATTTATCCAGAGATTGTAAAAGTAGTTATAAATACTGAAATTCGTTTTATTGTAAAAATAAAGAATAACGGATTCAGTTTAACACAAATGTGTTTATTAAGTGATATTTCTTCCATCTCTTGTGCAACTGTGCACTTTTTGGCTACTGAAACAATAGTAATTATTTTTTTTATGTTTAACGTTAAATATTTTTTCAGTTATTGATTATAAACCCTTAAAAGTAAATAATTTTAGAAAGACAATTTAATAATCTTTAAAATGCAAAAACAATAAATAGGGTGTTTCATTTAAATTTTTTAAGTTACTGAACATTTAACAAACGCCTTCATGTTTTTATCTTTGCAAATGCAACACATTAAAAAATTTTACGATCTTATAGTTTGTACCTTCTTCTTTCCGTTAGTGAAAAAAATTCTATATGTCTAATGTTTTTGTGTAATAAACTTTTTAAAAGTGCATGTTTTCTTCAAAAAAACCGTCTAAGCGAAATCGACTAATAAAAGTTTAGCGTAGAAACATTGTTTTAAAAGACTACATCCAAAAATGCCTATTCACCTAGATGTATCTATCTATAATTATGGCAAAAAATCTACTAAATATTGAACTATTGATGAGATTATAAGTTCTCGCAGATAACCGCCAGAAATCGCCCCACAAAAATGAATGACAATTGTGACGATTAATGGTCACTGTTGTCAATTTAATTTCAAGGTAATCGGTCAGTTTAATTACCAATGAAACACTTTATAGTAGGTGTACAAGAAGTAAGGGACTAAACGTTTCTTGTTTGATCTATTGATTTTATGAAAAAACTAATTGATGTACGAGTACTATGTATAAAAATGTGTCGTTGCTTAAGAATAGATTTTTTCGAATTTTTTTTGAGTTCTCCAATTTTTTTTTATTTGCAACCCTCTACGAAACCTTTTTTTTTACAAAAGCGATGATATAAGGATTACAACTATTTACATTTTATTTAATTTTTTTGGAAAAAATGTTGTTTTTTGTTTGTTTTCATTGTACTTAGTTTAATTTGTTGTATTGTACTTATTCATGATTAAAATGGTGGATGCGCCGGGATAATTCTTTTTTAGTTATTTTTTTTACGAAACTGATATCGCAGGCTAGAAAACTTACTAAAAGTTAAATGGTGGTCATAAATATTTTGTTCCAATTATCTCTACATTATTCAGAGTTGCCAACTTAACTTCAAAGTCACAACCCACTCTAATCAAAAATTTGGTTAATCGCATAATATAAAGTTACGAAAAAACACATTCTTTTACTGTTTATATGCAAATTCTATCGTTGTTATGAGATTTAAAAAGACCAATTTATCGCTGTAAGAACACAGAATTTTGAACGTTACCTTTTACTTTGCTTTTAGAGATCACTTGTGTAGAAAGGACTTTTCAAAATACTATTTTTATGCAAATTTTGTAATACATATTATTTACGTGTTATGAGTTACCATTCACAGTTTGGAATATTCACTAACAACATTGTTTTTTTTAAATTCTTAAAACAATTTAAATAAAATATTTCGTCTGTTACGTTAAAGAAATTGTTTGTGTTTAAGTTACTATCTATTCCATCAAGATGTTTATTAAATGGACTATTAATTTTCAATTATCGCTTTTAACTTGATATCTAACTGACATTAGATATTGTCACAAGTTTGCTCTAAGTGAGCAAAGATTTGAGCAATCTTGCTAAAAGACAAGAGAACCGACAACATTGTCCTCTTGATGACGAATTAATTGAAGCCAAGTCAAAGTGCCAAAGTTGAAGAAGCGTTCATTTACGCTTATCAATAATGAATGCAACGTTGTCATGTTTACTAAATGTAACTCTGAAACCGAAATGGAAACTCCGGTCCGGAGCGGTAATAGTTTGAAATTCCGGGCGTTCGCTCGATTACACGTTAAAAGCTTATTAATAACTTGCAGTATACAAAGTAATGAGAGTGAGAGATAATTAATTTCGCCTAAATTGTATCGAGTTTAATTGGGGGAAAAGATCAATCCATCAATCAAAATTTCTTGTAAAAAGTGAAGTTGGTACCTGTCTGGTGAGCAGGACGGCGGTTACGATGTATCCGTTGAAGAGGATGCCCAATGAAGAAATCAGTATCAGTGGTATGTTAAGGAACATAGGTGTCATTCCGGTCCACTTCCGGCCTACTTCACCACGTCCATGGCGCGCACTTCCGGACTCTACATCTGCAATAGCAAAAAAGAACTGGAGAAACCTGTTGCTCCTACTCCGACAAAATTTCACAATTATTTTTAGTCATATTTTAAAATAATAATTATAGCAATTAAGCATAAACCATCCTCTCATTTATTTTATAAATTCGACTTTTTTAAACGCACTGTAAAACTTTTTTTATTTTCAGAACTGTTTTATTTGCTATTGTTCCTGTCACAATGGATATTAAACTGGAAGCTTTACAAACTAATTAAATTAAGTCATAACACATCATTTAAACATTTTTTTTAAACAAATTTTTGATTCAAGAGGTTTTGTAATAATTTTAGAGAGGAAATTATCTTGAGACGCCCATTTCCTTTTTTAGGAAATCATCATACAGGAGAATAGAAAACTAGGTTGTTACAAGTCTAAATTTTATTGATTTTAGCTATACAATTCGCTTTAATCATGAAGATATTTATTCATTAGGGGAAAAAATGAATAAAATACAGATTTTTACACTTAAAATAAATTGGAATTGAGTGAACCGAATTTTTTTATGTTTTTTGATATAGACAAGCTTCTTGATATCGCGTTTTACTCTTAAAATTGCAATTGAATGTATTGGTCTCAGCGAGTTGAAAAACTCCACTAGTTAAATGGCAAAATTAAAAAAAAATGTATAGGACATTGTTAGATACTAATCTAGAGCATCACCTAAAATTATTTTCAACTATACAGCATGTCCCAAAAATAAGTTCCGACACAAACTTGATTTTTTTTTTAAATGGAACACCGTGTGTTTCTTGGCATTTTTGGATGTAGCCTTTTAAATCAATGTTTTTACGCTAAACTTTTATTAGTCGATTTTGCTTAATTTTAGAAATAAGACGTTTTTTTAACGAAAACATGCACTTTAAAAAAAAATTTACACAAAAACTAAGACAGCTAGAACAATTTTTTTCTTTTATCTGCATAAAAGAAAGTACAGAATTTAACGCTGTGGCATTTTGTAAACATTAAAAAATGATGAAGTTTGTTAAATGTTAACTTTTGCTCCTACTCCGATAAACTTTCACAATTTTTTTTCATCTTTTAAAATAATAATTATAGCAATTAAGCATAAACCATCCTCTCAATTATTTTATAAATTCGACTTTTTAAAAGCACTGTAAAACTTTAAGTTTTATTTTCAGAACGAATAGTTAATCTTGGAAACTGTTTTATTTGCTATTGTTTTTGTCACAATGGATATTAAACTAAAACCTTTACAAAGTAATTAAACTAAGTTATAACCCATCATTTAAACAATTTTTAAACAAACTTTTGAATCAAGAGGTTTTGTAATAAAGTGTTCTTAAATTCCAATCTCTAATAAAAATCAATATTAAAATTATTTTATTTTGTACTCATTGTTAAAGAGTGCTTTTTCAACTAATTTCAGTAGATAAAGCAGTCTTTTATCGTCTAGTGAAATAAAGTAATTTTCATCTACTGTTTATATTTTATCAACTAATTCCAGTGGATAAAGTAGTTTTTATAGTCTAGTGAAATAAAATAATTTTTATCTACATACTGTTTATATTCAAGAAATTCTGGTAGGTGAATACAAAATAAAACGAAACATTATACACGACGATAAAGATTGTTTATCTACTCGTGAAAAAGTCCACTCGTGACTTCGTCACTCGTAAACTTCACCTTTTTACTCGTAGATAAACAATTTCTTTATCGTCTTGGATAATAAATAACTCTTACTTATAATAATTTATTTTTTAGTTACATTTTTTACAAAACTCATATCGCAGGCTAGAAAACTTACTAACAGTTAAATGGTGCTTATAAATGTTTTCTTACAATTATCTCTACATTATTCAAAGTTGCCAACTTAATTTCAAAGCCACAACCCACTCTAATCAATAAATTGATTAATCACTTATTATAAAAATACAAAAAACACATTCTTTTCCTGTTTTTTTGCAAATTTTATCGTTCTTATGGGATTTAAAAAGACCAATCTATCGCTGTAAGAACATAGAATTTTGAACGTGTTGCTGTTATAGGTTTGAAATTGATCTATCTTTGTCTCACACTAGCTGTTAAAAATCATAACACAATTTTTATTTAAGATAAATAAACAATAGTTGTTTTAATTCAAAATTTAGAGTTTTATATTAATATTTGTCACACTGTTTACTTCAGCCAAGTTTTCAGTTCTTTTGAAGCAGAAAAAGTTCTTGTAAATAAATTTACAACGGATGCTTTTTATTGAAATGCAACCCATGCTTTTGTAACAACATTTCAAACTTTTCAATTTGTTGTGCAAGTTGTGTTTTATTCGCTGGCAACTAGAACGTCTCACAAAGATCTAATTTTATAAAATTTTCAAACATTGTAAGTGCTTTTCCACACTTTCGGTCTTGAAATTAGACTAGAAAAAGTTGGTTAGCAAAATTTACATTTATTCATTTATTTCAATTTAAATTTGCATTCCTATGGATTTGGTTCAGAAATCGGAGGAGCTTGTGCAACATGTGTACGAAACAGAGATTTATCCAGAAGCTCATCTTAACCCCAACGTAATTAGGTCATCAGCACAAGGAGTGCCCGACAATTCGATTACCCTCAACCGTTCCCAAATCGGAAGTCACCAATTAGCGTTGAATCAATTATGGAAAAGTAGAAAAATGTCACTTATCCCACCACTGTGTGACGTCATTAAACCGAATTTAGCATCGACAAATCGATGACACTCTGACAGGTCAAGGATGTGCGTTGAGAGCCTATCAAAATTCGAATTTATCGATTATAAAAAACGATTTTGTTGCATATTTTATAAAGACATGAAAGGTATCGTGTACTACAGTAATTACATTTGTTTTCTCCTTAAATTAATTATTTGGCGGGATTGGTTTTGGACCCGGGAGACGATATGGATATTTTAAAACGTGAATAAGAAAAATGGACCTGAGTAGTTTCAGTTTGTTTACATGTTGGGAAATTTAATTTGATTTTTCTTCAGATGCCATGGAATTTTAAGTTTTCAGTGACTAGAATTAATTTTAGAATAATAATTTTTACATTTGGGATTCAAGAGGTTTCTTATTTAATCTGAATTTCATTTGATGCGTTCAAGTAAATGCCTAATCAAAGTGGGCTGTAATTTTGAAATTAAGTTGGCAACATTGAATAATGTAGAGATAATTGTAATGACATTTGTAATTGTGACATTTGAGCCTACTTAATATCAACAATCACAATAGTGACATACCGTCACTTTAGGTATTATTCAATGTTGCCAACTTAATTTCAATGTTACAGGCTTCTTTGATCAAAAATTTAATTGAACAAATGGTACATTTTGTTCATAGGTAAGCTATTCTATACATTAATCAGTGTTTTGTTTTGTTTTAACTGTTCCGACGAAATGCGTTTACATGTTGGGAAATTTAATTTGATTTTTCTTCAGATGCTATGGAATTTTAAGTTTTCAGTAACTTGAATTAATTTTAGAATAATAATTTTTACATTTGGGATTCAATAGGTTTTTTATTTAATCTGAATTTCATTTGATACGTTCAAGTAAATGCCTAATCACAGTGGGCTGTAATTTTGAAATTAAGTTGGCAACATTGAATAATGTAGAGATAATTGTAATGACATTTGATTATAAAATTGTTACATTTGAGCCTACTTAATATCAACAATCACAACAGTGACATACCGTCACTTTAGGTATTATTCAATGTTGCCAACTTAATTTCAAAGTTACAGGCTTCTTTGATCCAAAATTTAATTGCACAAATGGTACATTTTGTTCATAAGTAAGCTATTCTATACATTAATCAGTGTTTTGTTTTGTTTTTACTGTTCCGACAAAATGCGTTTACATGTTGGGGAATTTAATTTGATTTTTCTTCAGATGCTATGGAATTTTAAGTTTTCAGTGAGTAGAATTAATTTTAGAATAATAATTTTTACATTTGAGATTCAATAGGTTCCTTATTTAATCTGAATTTCATTTGATGCGTTAAGTAAATGCCTAATCAAAGTGGGCTGTAATTTTGAAATTTAGTTGGCAACATTGAATAATGTAGAGATAATTGTAATGACAATTGATTATAAAATTATAATATCAACAATCACAATAGTGACATACTGTTACTTTAGGTATTATTCAATGTTGCCAACTTAATTTCAAAGTTACTCTTTGATCAGAAATTTAATTGAACAAATGGTACATTTTGTCATAGGTAAGCTATTCTGTACATTAATAAGTGTTTTCGTTTTTTTTACTGTTCCGACAAAATGCGTTTTGGATTAAAAATTAATCCCATTTGTTGCTAACAGTCTGTTTTTCGGATTGTTTTCGTCGCAAATGGCTTGTTCTTCGCTTTGTTGTCACCTTATCAATAATAAATTGCTTGAAAAATACAGTGAACGTGACCCTTGAGACGGAAATAACAATAATAAATAAGTGAAACCCTGGATTTTTTCAGTCGGGGGAAATTGCGTGTGGGTATGCTGATGTAACTTCAATAATGGATCGACTGATTTTCATGAATTTCATTAAGAAGGCAGTAGAGACACTTTCTAATAATGTGAAAGACGTTCCCAGATTGCTTAAATAAGGAAAATGTTTGTGAGTCGAATGCGTGATTGGGAAGTTATTTAAAACCTGAAATACTCTATTTTTTCTGTTTTTGAAAAGCTTACAGAATTTCTATTTGTGAAATCAAAATCTGGAGTTATGAGATAAGCGTCTGTTACAATAGCCAAATATCCACGCCTTTGCTTGAATGCTCTTTTCAAACTTGGAGATCATAAAATAAAGTAGGTTATTATTATCGTTGAGAGTCCGAATATAAAATAATTGATTTTTATGGGCTTTACAAAGAAAGTAAAGGAACGAAATCAGCTTACAAAGGAGAAAAACTTTAATGTACTCACAAGGAATTATTTCAATGATAACGGATAATCCTTTACAGATTGATACAAAAAGAGCACAGTAACATTTTTTAGAAAGCTTTTTAATAAATCAAAAACTGTAAATTAACAGGACACCATATTTTTTGTTTATAAATTATTTAACGGAAGTGTTTCATAACCTTTTATTTTTTTGAATGTTACCACTAAACTAGGCCAAGTAAATGTCAATGTTAGTACACAATTTAAAAGGGAAATCAATCTTCACTTATTAATATTCATTTTCGTTGCAATCTGTTTTGGAAGAAAAACTAGCAAATCCTCAAACAATATAAGTAACAAATATTCCACCTTGTAATTTTGTTAAATCGGCGTTAAATATTTAGATTTTAGTCAATAACAGGCGGAGTACAATTAGCAAGTGGAGTGAAAACGAAACTAGTAGTGGTCAAAAATGTTACAATAAAGTGAACTCCATCAAATTATGTATTATTAATGTTACCGGAATGTTCGAAATAGGGTCGTTTTAGAAGAATATCAATCACAAAAATAGGATTCGAAAAAAATTTACGTTTTGCCTCTATTCTTGTCAAATAGAAAACTTATTTAAAATGTGTGGATTATCTTCAAGACATGTCGAAGAAAAGCATTTGAGAGTAACATTATGTAAATTATTATTAGTGTTCCAGACCAATTCTAGTAAAAATTCAAATTGACATTTTAGACTTTGTCCTTGCAGTTGGAAGATTTTTCGTTCAATAATTAAGTATAATGTAGATGTATCTAAAGAAAATGTTCTTTTGACATCAGTAGTAATTAGATGTGGTCTATTTGCTCTACTTGGATCAATATTGCGTGTGTAAAAATATGGAAAAACAGTTTTTAATAAAAACGTTATGTTTATTGAGATGTTATTTTAGTCTGATATATCGTGAGAGTAGGGAAAGTTTCGAATATATTTTAATATTCTACGTTCTAACGTTTTTGAAAAAAAATTGTTTTATTTACACTTGCAGACTAGTGAATAATAAATGCTCCAAAAGGGGTTGTAGAATACATATGGTTGGGAACAGAATTTTTAATTGCAGGCCTGTATTTAGTCTAGTTAGAAGGTAAACACACTAAAAGTCCTCTTCGAGGTGAACAATAAAAATATTCTGGAAGTTCAAAATTCGTTTCAAGCCGATTCTGAAATAGCACATGAGTCCGCAAAAACGTTTTAGTTACGTCTTCCAAACAATATTTTTTGTTAAAATTCTCAAAAAACGAATTCACACCTCTTATTAGTTAAAAAAAAATTGCCACCATATTAACCACATTGACTTTTTCGTCCGGAAAAACTATTTTTGGGGACTGAGTACCTAAAATAACCATTTTTTTATTAAAGCTAATTTTATTGCAGTAGGAATAGTAAGTACTGTACTTATCTTTGTTTAAATTGTTAAAAAAAATCATATTTACTACGGAATAAAATTCAAATATCAGAAAAACATACTTCTGAGAGTTAAAAAATCAATTGTTTTTAAAAATAGTTAAATATGGTAAAAAAGTAGTGTACTATATGCTCCTGAAAATAGCTGTTTTAGGGACTCATTTGAAAATAAGTCTTTTCCGAACTCAATAAAATAGTACGTAAAAAGATTTACTACTTCTACTTTTTTTAAATGATTAAGTTTTGATAAAGATAAGTATTGTGCAATGTTTCTTATCATAGTTAGGAAGCAAACTTTTCTTGAGATAATCTTTATGTTGCATATTTTTAATACAATATGATTTCTTCCTATCATATTTTTTCTATAAGAATATGTAGGTATAAACAAAAATGCAGGATGACATTAATAGTTGTGCAGAAGAGGACAAAAGATACGAAATTACCCTAACTTATCTTATTCGAATGTTTAGAGTTTTTAAGAAATGGAAGGATTTAGTCACCGAATAAATTTAACTTTTTTGCACAACCTTAAACTTCATCAACTAAAATTATAATCAAATATCATCTCCGGCGTTAGCTCTTCAAAATATACTACATTGTTTAAAAAAAAATAGAATAAAAAAGAGTCACAGAAAAAATTTTCTTATATTAAAAAAATAATAATAAGATAAAAATGTTGCATAAATTTTTTCGCAAAGATAAAAAAATTTACCGACTATTAGCAATGTAAAACATTTAAATAAATTAACTCTTCAAAAGATATAAACTTACTTTATATTGCATTTAATTTTTCGACCATAAAATGGACTTATCTCATAAAGTATAAAAATTTAAATAAAGCAAGTTGAGTTATTTTTCCGTCTTTAGAACTGTTTACTTAAAACGCGTTTTTATATAAAAAAAACCAAGACAAATAAGTAAAAAAAAAACATCGAAACAATAGATTTCAAAATTCGAAATAATAGTTTTTTTATTTTATTTCCTGATTATTACCAGGTTTAAAAATAGCTACTGTGTTTAATTTATTTGGATTAATTCTTAAAACAACATCATAATCATGGTGAGCCGCAATAAAAATATTGCTAATCTATAAATAACTCATCCTGATAACATATTAAAACAGATATCGTCAGCAATTGCAAATTAATTCAGTTCAGAATGAAGTCCAACGTCCCATATGTTGTTTTATTTACAATTCAAATAATTCAAATATCGCATCACCAACCGATAGGTAAAAAAACAGGAAATGCAACACACACGACCTATTTTACACTTTTATCAAGTCTGTGTACTAGAATATTGTTAATTGTTATCTAATCTCAAGTATAATGTGACATAATTGTAAAAATCAAACAACACTAAGTTTCTCTACCTAATTCTTGATAAAAATGTTTTCCACAGATATGCCTAGCGAAATCAAAAAACTTTTACTGGAAATTACTCCAAACTTTGATGAAAATCTGAAGCGGGTAAGTGGTGTTTTTGTTAAAAATTTATTTAATTGAAATGGTGTGAATCAGGCTTTCAGGAATGAAGGGGTCAGGTTACAAAGAATGCAAAACTCTGGGCGGAATATTCATCAACTCGACGACGTTCTCTTGTCAATAGATGATACCAAAATGTACGTTGTTTTCTTTATTTAGACTAACGCTGGATTAGAAATAATTTTGATAAAAGTTTGTAGTTCATTTATTAGTGCGCTAGAAACTGCGGGAGTTGTACTGAGTAATGATTCCATACTTAATTAAGTTTATGTGAAGTAACGACTGCAAACAAAACTAAAACTTGCTGCAGTATTTTAATCTAGCGTACTAGGAAATTGTTTTAAGCCATTTTTAAAATAATTAATTTTAATATAAGTTACTTGGGAAAATGAAAATATACAGGCTGTTCCGGCTAAACCCCACATTAGAAGTATTAAAATAGTAGAGTTATCGATTTTTGAATAGGAAGGTGCATATTCAAAAAATTCCAAAAAAGTCTAAATATTTCGAAAACGGTTAAACTTAGGTATAGAGAACGCTGATACATAGCTTTCTATTTAAAATAACAAAGTTGCTACCCACTTCCGGTGTAACCGGAAGTGCCGCCATCTTGAAAATATTTTCATTGAGCAGGGACCTAACCAATTATAACTGTTAACAAAATTTTAAATAAATGTTATTGTTAAAACTTCCAATATTTCTAATGTGGGGTTTAGCCGGAACAGTCTCTACTATACCTATTAACATACCTAGGATGTAATGAATGTCATAACAGCTGCAGATGTCAGTTTGAAATCCGACCGAGTATCGAGGATTTTAAGACAACTAAGGCTGTTACGTTATGACATTATTACATCCTAAGTTTGTTCAAGATTTTATCGGTTTCTGTCGAATAAGCCAAAAATTGGAACAAATTAAATCCAAAAATTCTAGGATGTAATGACAGCTGCAGAGGTCAGTTTGAAATCCGAGCGAGTTTACAATTTTACAATATCGATATGTCAGTAAAAATGACATATGGATATTGTAAAATTGACAATTCAATATTGTAAAATTTTACAGCAATCAATAAGGTTATGCCATAGTTACCAGACTATTTTTGTGCATGTAACATTGCTCTTAACAGACAGAAACCGATAATAGTACATTACAAGCGAGGTGGTAAATATGGCATTACCCCGAGTGCTTATGTATACGATGTATAATGCCATTACTACCGAGGTTTGTCTGCTACTTTATTCACAATTTTTTTTTATTTTTAATCAAAAATTTGAATAAAATAAAATTCTAACAAATTTAAGGGCCAAACGTAGTAGGCCATCTAAAATGGCGTTTGACTTTTGACATTTCAGAAATGTCAAAAAAAATATTGAAATAATGTGTGAATCTGATATTAAAATTGTTGAAATGGAGTAATGCGCTCCCCCAGAAGTAAGAAAAACTGCTACAGAAGCAATTGAATACCAATTTAGCAAAATATTATGCGTAACTTGACAATTTGAAAGAAAAAATTCCCGGTATTTTTGTAATTTTAACGTTGGCAATCCTATTTTAATGTTGGCAATCCTGCATATTACCGCCCAAGAGAAGTAATGTTGTTACTCCTCAAGAGATATAATGATGTGTTTCCCAACCTTTAAAAGGTTAGTAATAGCCATATTACATTATTGATTGTGAATAAAAATTATTACAGGTATCTACAGTTTTGTATCATTGACGTTTTTCCAAATAGTCAAAAAATGATCAAATTGTCCGTGGCAAAACACGTGAGCCTTATTAATTTTCATATTCTCTGTTTCTAAATTACTTAGTGTTGCCAACTTAATTTCAAAGTCACAGGCGCTTTGATAAAAATTGAATTAAGGTGTGGTATTTAAAACCTGTGATAACAGAACTAGTCCATTGCAGCGAGCTGCGCAACCTGAAATTTGCCTGGATTCCGGACTTCCGCATCCTGGACATGTCCAGCGACCTACCGATGTCATGCCTAGACTTAAGCCTAAACCTGGGCAATTTGCGGATCGAGGGCGAATATGAAGCCAACAACACCACACTCAGACGATGGTTACCAGTATCTCACGTTGGCCGAATCGTGTAAGTTACAACCGAAACTGGCAGTAAATCCCAATTTTTCATTGGTCGTTTCAAATCTCCGGAGAGATTTATTTTTAATGGAATTCGTTAATCGAAAGGTCGCTTTTACAGGATCGGCTTTAACAACGTCCGAGCGAACGGAAAAGTCGGCCTCCTTCTCAACCAGGATTCTTTCGTTCCGCAGAATTATGATATTATATATGAACCGACGGATGTTGTTATTAGGGTGAGACGGTGATGACGTGAGGAAAAAAGAGAATAATAGGGGTGTTTCAGGTTAGTTATCACGTGGATGGCGAAAATGAGGTACAAAACGAGATTACCAATTCAAATATCGGTAAGTTTTTACATACAGGGTGTTTCACGTAATTTTATGAGGCCTGCGCCTGTAAGATGCAATCAATAATACATATTCCGATACAAACTCGATTACAAATTTTGAAAAATTGAATAATCTTCTCTAGTTTGTCCACCCTTTAAAAAATTACAACGTTTTTAGTTAGTTAGTGATTAAGATAGATAAACTAGAATCATATTCATGCCGTCTCTTGATAGAACAAATTATAATTGTTTCTGAAAAACTGCAGTTTATGACTATTAATGAAACAGTGATTAGTTTGACAACTGGGTTTCCAAAAATTAAATTGTTAGAAGTGTATTTTTTGTATCCAGTGTTCTGTGACTTTTGTATATTTGGGTGCGTGCAAGCCTCGTGAAGTTGTGTGAAACACGCTGTATTTTGGGGACAATTTTTGTGTGTGTGTGTGTGATATGCAAGTACTGTTTTGTCGCTTGTAATCACATGACGAAAGGTCAACATATTATAAGCCAGACTAGACTACACAATTAAAGTCTTTGTAACAATTTAAAGCCTTTGATGCATGGAGTGAGTACAAAGTAATTTGCATTTAGATACCTACGCTACATACTAGACACTAATATTGTTTACTACTAAAACCGAAATATCTACGAGGTAAAACAGTTGTCAAATTTAAAGACTTTGTTTCTTTAATCAGTTTTTAGAGCATCCTTATTATTAAGAATTTATATAAAAAGACTTAAATTTAATCTGGAAAATCTCATCTAGGTGATGCTGCATTTTCCGTTTGTAGGAGTAAAAGAATGTAAATTTTATTAAAAATTGAAATACGAGTAAATAGTTAATTTGCTTTTCTTTTTTTATTTTACAGGTGCGCCAGAACTTGCGACCGAAATAAAAATATTTAAGAAATTCTAAGTATAAAAATTTCGAAGTTATGAGTTTAAATTTTGCACTTTGACTCTATTTCTGTTGTAAAAATAGTTTTCCAAGTTTTTTTGCTACAGGCTATTAGAAGAAGAAACAAGGAAGCTGTATCCTAAATTGTTAACTCTGTTTAATGTTATTTGTGGCTATTATTGGCAAAAGTTTTCTACCTTTACTAAATAATTATAAAAAAACATATATAAGAATATTAGTATCATTAAATGGACATAAAATATGTCAAATGTCAAAAAATAAATGTCAAATTTTTTTGGCAAATAGAATTTTTTAAACATTTTTTTTCATTTTCCTGGTATCTTATCTTACTTGAAATTTTTCTCTGGGGCGAGAGTTCTGATACACCCTGTATGTCTTTTTCAACACATACGTATAATAACAGATTTTAAGATTCTATTTTATAATTTTGATAAATAAAAATTGAATTTGTAACTCACATACCTACACCATACTAAGAAATATTTTTTGTAAATAATACTATAGAAATTTTTTCAAAACTTTATTGGCAACTGTTTTTAAAAAATAAACTAATAGTTTTTTAAGACGATTAAAACGAGCATAAATGTTTATAATTAATTGTTTAGTTTGTTTTAAATAAACATGATATAATAAATGAAACTTGTTCATGTATGGTATTACTCATTTTTTGATTGCAAATAAATAACAACATATTATGTAAAAAATTCAATATGTTAATTTTGGTGGCTTTATTTGACAAAACTACATGAATATTGCGTGACTCATTACTTTTATAAGAATCTAGATTAGAAATTTTTATATTTAACACAAAATTTCATATTCATATTTATATACAGTGCCCCCGAATTGGTGAAACTACTTTTGTAAAAGGAAAAAAAATAGATTTTAATTTTTATTTTTTGGGGTTCAGCCCTCATTGGTTAATGATTAATTTTTAACATAACTTTAGTTCTAAAAATCGATATCTTGGCAATTTTCAGTTATGTGGGAAATACGACAAAAAGTTGTTCTTTTAGCTCCCTAAAATTCAAGCAAATATAGACAGACTTTACCAAATTTCAAAATCAGCGTCCAACTATGATTTTTCATTTTTTTCTAAGAATTGCTTTTTATTAACAGATGCGCCAAAAAGTTATGTAGTACTAATAATCTAAATGATCCGTAATAAAAGAACTGTTAAAAATAAAATTCTTTGATTTGTAAATTAATAAACTTAAAAAAATTAAAAATCATAGTTGACCGATGTTTTTGAAATTTGATATACGGGCCTAGATGTTGATTCGAAACAACTTTTTTTTAATAACTTGTTGCATTGACCACCACAGAAAAATCAAAAAAATAAATTAAAAAAATGTCTAAGGCATACTTGATCTTTTAGAACTAAAATTATATTAGAAATTAGTCTTTAATCAAAAATACGCGTACCTGAGCTTCAAAAAATTAAAATTTAAATCGAGATTTTTTTACATTTTACAAGAGTCGTTTCACTTATCGGGGGACACACAATATGGGATACATTTTGCAACTTGGTTCGAATACGACGAACTCGTTTAAATGTATTGTATTAGCCATGTCTTTAGTAAAGTGCCTCAGGTTTTTGAGAAAATAATTCGTTTAAAAGCATCACAAAATAATCTAGTAAGTGTATAAGCCATTCATCGATCCACTAAATATTAAAGAACTCTTCAAACAACGAACAGGGCCGTAATGTAATTTTAAACGGTGGAAACACTTTATTTTTCTTTCAGAGGCGACGTTGGGCAAGACGGTGTGGATTCAGTTGACTGAAATATTGTCCAACCTGTTGCATAGGCAATTGGCGGAGGTTGTAGTGGAGTTTTCCGTCACTGAACTTCTGGTTGACAGAGACGAGGAATACAGGTAAAAACTCTAACACTTTTAATCCAAGGTCTAATAAAATTGGCCTCTTTTTTCTCATCAATTTGTAATTTTCGTTTTTATTTTTTCGAACGAAAACTAAAAAATATGGCGTCCATAAGATAATCCCAAGTTGAGTGTTGTAATTCCGATATCAAGAACGCCTTGGAAAATATCATGACAGATTTAGATTCCTTGTAATAAAGTGCTTTAAGAACGTGCTAATTAAAAACATCTATAAGTTTTTTAGTTTTCGCTTGAAAAATTAAAAACGAAAATTACAAATTTCCGTTTTTTTCCAATAATTCAAAAACTAAAAATGCCACATTAAATATTCTTTTAGATTATTGTACAGCATAAAAATGCGCAACTTTGCCCTAATTTAACCGACCTAGTATCGCTTATAATAACTGAGATCCCCATGGTGGAGCTCGAAAAACGAACACCCTGTATGTCTGTACTTCAATTAAAATGAAAAAGTAGTTATTTATTATTTATGAATTTTATCTTTTTGAGCATATTAGCATCTCGGCTGACGCCTCGACGCTAAATTGCTCTCAGATTTTATCGTCGTGTACAATATAAAATTTTATTCAATCTTCACTAATTTTGTAGTCAATTTGGTCGATATTTATAATTATAAATGTCAAAGTAAAACTTAACAATGAAATGTCAAAAATCGTTACCAACTAACAAACGCAGATATACAACAATAGATATATTTTTTATCATCTAGACGATAAAATTTCATTTTAACATGAAGAAAAGAGTAGATAAAATTCAATTTTAACATAGAGGATTGAATAAAATAGATTTTTATTACTCAAGTTATTCTAAGAACGTTTTTATCAACCTTGTCTATGTCTAAATTTAGCCATTTTTGAAATATTTCTGTATTTAAAAAAATTTGCACCTGCCTTTTCAAAAATCAATAACTCCCTTTTATTTGTTATTACAAAATCGTCTTTATGCATTTGAAAAAAAAAAACAAAATTATTTTCTATAGTGTAGAAATAATTGAGAAAAATAATGATTAAATACCTAAAATTTTGTTCTGACAAGAAATAAAGTTTTGTTCAAACAGTTTGCCTATTTTTAAACATAGGTGAAACACTAAAAATATCGTGTATGGGTTACCTATTAAACAATTCTGTAGAATTTAAAGACAAGAATTTTCTTTCCGAACGCAATAAATTCTAACACGCAAAGCGATTATTCAAGTCTGAATAAAATCCACCCGTCCGTCTCTAAGACAAGGGAATGGTATTAATGACCACCGGCGTCGAATCTCGCGTTAATTGCCCACTCACCATTAATTAACAACCCGGAAAGCATCTCTCAACAATTATACCACGCGATAAGCCGTCACCCGCCCCTAAGTACCCACTAATAACGACTCGAACTCGCCATAAATTGTTAGTATCGTCCAGAGGTAATTTCCACCTTGATTAGACCGAAAATTGGCATTTTTACTGGCACTTTTATGCTATCATCAAGCGTTTTGTATGCGAGATAACGTCGACAAGAAATCGTTTAATTTGCTCCAGAGAATACGCCAAGGGACAAGCGGCACGAGCCAATAAACTCCTGGATTCGCTTTTGTGTTCAGCGAAGGACTATTTGGTAGCGAAGAAGTTGAGGACGGTGAAAACGCCACCCTTCGATGTCGTTTTCAAAGGGAAAGTCTCGGGGGTGCAGCAGGGGACTTTCAGCACCGGGGAAGGGTTCTTGCAAGATCTCGCTACTTTGACGAGGATACACAGTTTTAGTTTGTACGAAGATAAACACAAACTCACGATATATGGAGGGATCAGTTTGAGGGAGTTTAAAGTAAGAAACAGAAATTTTTTACAATTTAATTTCAAGTCATTTTCTTTTCATTCCTGTGACAATTTTAATGTTAATATTATTAAACATCGCAGTCTTTACTTTTCTTCTATTCTCTTTTAATTAACTTGCAAGGCAAAGTTTATAAAACATTTTGTTTTAATTATTAAGTTTTGTTTAATTTTCATTCCCAGTACTGACTAATTGTGCGTCGCTTAGTGATTTACTTATACCGTTTGCCATTTAAGACTTTCCCTCTTTTCTACTTTTTACAATTCTAAACAATTTTTAACACTATCTTTGCTTTGACTTAAATTGTCGAATTTTTAATATTAAAGTCAGTTCAATAACTCAAATCAAGTATATTATATATTATTAAATCAAGTATATTATATCACAAGTTAGAGAAGAAATTTTTTATAGCCGAGCTGTTTATTACCCGAGATGCGTAGCATCGAGACAATTAAAGATTCGAGGCTATAAAAATCTTCTCTACAGTATTGTTTGTTGTATATAACATTTTTTTCACTACTAGCACATTTATTACCCAGAAATACAACGGTGAAAAATATAACCTTACCTAATGGACATGTTGCTTCAGACATAGCATGTCATAATTCACAACTATTATTTTTGTTAATTTACAGTACTACAGTAATTAATTACTTATCTGAGTTATTAACTTAAATTGGAAGTATTATTTTTTTATAGTAAATGAAGTTATGTTATTTTTGTACACTCAGAAAAGTTGAAAATGACATGTCCATAAACCTACCCTCATTATTTGAGTCCTCCTATCTAACCGCACTTATAAACCATCTGCGAGGAGAAAGTAATAAAAATGCTTTTGCATTTGGCCTCAACATTTCTTTTAAGTAAATCTTGTCAGGTGATATTATTTCATCAATGATAGTTAATATAATTAAACGTGTGTAAAGTGTGTTATACGGTGTGTTATGCTGAAACGAGCAAATTTGTAATTTTAAAACGTCATTATTCTGTCTCAGTGGAAATAAAAGTAAATTTTTTCTTGATTTTGGGGTTTTTCTCTGCTTTTTAAGTCCCTCCATAATGGCGGTTTAATTTTTTTGACAGAATTGTAACTTTGACAATTAATTAATTAATTATTATAATTGGTATTATCGACAATACAATAACATTCTGAAAAGATTTGTTGCTCTCATTCATGAAAAATAATAAAACTTCAAAGCATGAGATATTATTTTATTAATAATTATTATAATTAAAGACAAAAATTGTTTTAAATTAAAATAATTAATTTTATTTATTTCAATAAAAGGCAAAAATTATAGATTTTACAAATATTTTATGCATAATCACTAATTAATATCAGTAATGTGTATATTGTTGGCTAAACATTAATGAAGTCGTTCATGCATAATATCCACCAAATTTTGGCAAATTTGTGAGTAGCGGAAATGGTCCCAAACGTTATTAACGTGCTGCGCCAATTTTTTTATTTTAAATTTCGTTCGCGAACTTTGGATTTAGATGAGGCGAATGAGAAACCCATCGTATAATTTCGAATTCTTCATTTCATTTCTGACCTGATCGTCCAGTTGAAATAATCTAAATATAATTCTATGAAGGATCGCTTTGAACCTTTATTATTTTTTACAGAAGTACCAACTAATGTTTAGGTTCGAGATTGTAAGAAGTACTTTTGCAACTAATTTCATAATATGAAATATTTGTTAAAATAACAAAGAAAATACAAAGAAAAAGGTAAAAGTGTTAAAATTTCCCCTATCACAGTAGTATTTCAACATGAAATAAACCCATTAGTTGTTTTGACAGTTTTGACATGGGCAGAAGATTAAAGGTGGAATTATTCTGAAGTTTTTTAAGGAGGAAGTTTAGGTCTTTTTTATTTGATTTTGCATTAATTGCATGTCGAAATATTTTTGTTTGTTCTTGTGATGATAATAGTTTTAAAATAGTATAATAGTATTCTGAGTAGTCTAGGCCTATTTGTATTAATCGAATACCTTGTGATATAGGTAGAGGTATTCACTCACCTCTAATCCATTATTGCCCTTGTTCTATAATGAAAATAATTACACAGGTCCACAAAAAAAGTGGTGAGTGCTGGAGGCCGGACTATGATTTTCTGGCGTATTTTTTCCCACTAAACACGAATCTGAAGTCAAAATTGGGGGGGTCAATAATCGAAAAAAACCCAAAAAACCGATAAAAGTCACGATTCAGTAATTTTTCTGTATGATATTATTATCATGCGGTTTCTGCTTTTTTTATTTATTTTTATTTGTTTTTTTGTGGACCTGTGTATTGAGCACTAGGGAAGAAAAACAACTTCACAACCTCTCGACAAACTATAAAATGATACTTTTTACAACTAGTAGTTAAAAAAATGTTTATGTATCTAATTTTTTTTGGTCGGTTTTATTTGTTCTAACACTGGAATCAAGTTATTACGTATGTTTTAATGGTTAATGTTTAATCTAGCTCGGCTATGAAGGCTACCATGGCGAATACGAAGAAACCGCGGTCTCTGGTAGCATCAAAGGCTCACTCTACAAAAACGAGATTTTTGTCAAAATCACCGTCAAAAAAGAAGGCGAACGTTGTTCGACACAATTAGATTCCGTCCAAGTTGTTGTTATAAAGTAAGTAAAAAATTAATTTCACAATCATCTTTTGTTTCCTTTCTGTATCAGCAAAAAACTGATAATTTTTACAAGCGGGTTTTATTGAAAAACATCCTTATTTTCTTAATTAATTATCTACTTAATTTTTGGTCTCTATTTTCCAAGAAAACAAACGAAATTGAAACAAACGCACTCTGTACTGTTGATTTTCCATTAAGGTCGACGTAAAAATTTATTGCTCGAGAAAGTTTGGAACAAGATTTAAACGTTAGTTTAATAAAACTCAGTTTGTGGTAAAAGCTTATGAAATTTTTAATCGAGACTTGGTGAGACTTTAAATGCACAGTTTATGACAAAAATTCAATAGTAATTTCATAATCACAATAACAATTGTGTTTGCTTTTAGACTGATGAATTTTTAGGTATTAAAAATTGTATTTTGTTGCAACAGGACAAGTGTCAACTGAGAGGGAAAAATTAATAGCTGCTTGAACGTTATTGATAAAAATTTTATTCGAATTTTCCCGTTTTAAAAGTCTTGTGTTTGAGTTTATTGATTCTATTTATAGGCAAAAGGGTGAATTTACATTTAATGGAAAAGACACGTGGCTGACTGAAAGGAATTAATTATTTACATCCACCTCTCCACGATGTCAAAGGGAAAGTTAAAAAATAGTTTGTAACTTTATAAATATTTTTTCAGAAACACCAAAGCTTTTTTTGTTAAAAATCACAAATGTTTTTTTCCAAATTATTTTTTTTCTTAAATAAACTAATATTATGGGTAATATTTAACATCAACACTTTTACTTTTTGAACATCAAATTATCTTATCTATTTTGTGTAACTGGTAATTATTTTTATTTTGAATGTACAGGTTTTTTTGTTGAATTTATAACAAATGCCACATATCATTATTTTCATTCAAATAATAAATTCGCTTTAAATTTTCGAATTTCCATTTTGTAAAAAATCAGTTTGCAACTCTCCGATAAAAGCCATCAGCGTTCCTTTAACTATTCAATCCACACGTGTTATTAAATGGATTTAGTGGGGTGAAACAGTTGCCAACCGCACTGTAATTAGGGTGTTTGTACGGAAATTTGATCAATTAATCGTGTCATTTTACTCGAAAAATATCAGCCGACATAATTTATACCATTATTAGAATGTTTTGAATGCTGCTACGCACTAACCTGAAATACCAATAATAAAATGTCGGCATTATTACCATATGCATGTAAATCCAGCTCTGATTTCCATAAATGTAATTTGTGGAAAAATCTTCGAAGGAAAGAAGTACTTAGTATTCTGAGAGGGTGCGTCGATTTTTTACTGATACGACACAACACTGCCATATAAGCTACATAAGGGATCTGTTTCCGGGTGTCAGTAAGCCTATACAGGGTGATTCATATAACACTACATACCTGACCTACAAAATCCCAGATTTTATTTAATCATAGGTATATTTTAGATATCTTTGGCGGATGTCAATCTGACAACTAATTTGTTTTTCGTAGAATGTCAACAATATAGGGTGTTTACGGTCTTGAGGTTGAAATTTAAATGAGATGATATTCATGGTAGAAGAAAACTAACACGCATAATAAAACAAAAATTTAGGTTGGAAAAGGAAATAATTCATTTTATATTATTTGTTTGAGAACTGCTGCTTCAGCTGCAACAATGGCCATCAGTATCATTAATGACCTTGTGTTTCGTCGTAAATCACGACAACCAATTTATTATTTTAATATTTGCGATCCATGTCCATAAATTTGGAATAAAATTAAAAAAAAACAAATCAAACCTATTAGAAACCATTTTGCTCGAAGAGATTTAACTGAAGATCTTCGAATTTTGATAAAAACTTCAACAAAAACAAATCAAATGATGTGTCAAAATTATGAAGTGACTTTTTTCTGTCATTGTCATGGATACGATTTTTTTATTTGTTACAACAATACAATTTTATCTGAACAAAGAAATAATTCCAATGACTCTCAAACCGTATACCAATATTTTGGAGTTAAATAACATTCTTAATAATAACAATTGTGTGAGGATTTTTCTCGGTTACAGTAATTTTGTACTCTTCTATTTCTAGGCCAATTCCAAGACCGTAAACACCCTGTATAATGACAAGTTAAATTAAAGATTAATGTGTTATTGGTTGAAACAAAGTTCGTTGGGTTTGTTTTTTATGAGACATTCTTTATGTATCTGAGTAACATTATTTAGATAGAAAAACACGTTTAATAATCCATATTGAGAAGAAGTTGCACAACTCACTTTTAGTTGTTTTATTATTATTAAAAATTCCAATTTTTGTAACTACAAGAGTCAAAATGACGAAGAACTTTATATGTAGGCTGGATTGTAAAAAACGCCTCAAGTCGTAATTTTATTATCTTTAAGACATTACAATACTTCTTTGATAAGTTGAACAGTTTTTTTAATCAGTCGTTTGCTTGTCTTAGATAAAATGAATAAAAATGTTATATTCTTTCCAAAACCTACTTTATTTAATTTTGTCTAAAAACAAAATTTAGTGATAAATAATAGTTTGTGAGCTTGTTGAAAGACGATTTAATGAGGAATCCAAAAATAATAAAATATACAGGGTGTTCCATTAAAAAAACTAAAATTGATGTCACTTCCGGCGAAACAAGAAGCAGCATTTAATGAGCATCTATCCCAAACAATAGATGACAAAAAACTGTTCAACTTTTTCTAAGAAGTATTGTCATATATTTGAAAATAATGGAGTTATGACTTGGGGAGTTTTTCATAATCCAGCTTGTATAGTTACAAAAAAAAATTCAAAAATTGGGCTTTTTGCTATGATTTAAATTATTCAAAATATTTTGCTACGATTTTAGAAAAATCGTTAAACCTTTAAATGCAGTAACTTTTTTGAAAATGTAGTGATGAAAGTAGGTTATAATATTTAAATGATTTTTTTGGAGGGATAGGTCAAGTATTAAAATTAAATTAAATACCGAAAAAAGATTTTAATCAACAAAACTGAATTCCTAAATATTCTAATTTGGTGTTAAAAATCTTCCAACAAAACCAATAACACCATTAATTTTGATATAGAACAGAAAAGGATGATCAGCTTTAAAATGTTTAGAAGGCTCAACTATAGGACTAGGTGGAATGGGAATAACTGAAAAAAAAACGAAAATAAATATTAAAAAATATTTTCTAATCTCTTACTGCCGGAGGTCGCAGCTGCAGCTTCTACTCCTCCTTCTTCAACTTTAACAAACGTTTTTTGATTCACGCTATCAATTATCAAATCGCCTTTATTTCCAGCAATTCCACTCAAATCAGCTTCAGTTTCATCAAAAGCTTTGCTGACTCCTAACTAAAAAAAAAATTTTCAATTTTCTAATTTCCATAAAAAATTACTTAGGTACATTTTTTAAAATGTCTTTAAACTCGAAAGTACTCTCGATTGCAAATTTGGGCAACGAGACTTCCACTAATTCCCTTGTGAGATTATGAGAAATCAAAACTCTATCGATTTGTTTCTCAAGCGATGCCAAACCGTTTTTGTTATTAGGTAGAATGAAAGTCATCGAAGCGTTATTTTCGAATGGCAATTCCAAAAATTTTGCGTTCAAATGGGGACACTCGAAATATAAATACTTTCTTCCAATCTGATTGTGCATGGTTTCAATTTTTCGCACTTCTGCCTTTCCTGTATAGAAATTTTCTTCAAACGTGGCTGTTGGTGGAAAAGGGATTGACCAATGACCTTTGAAATGTACAGCATTAACCAAAACCAATCTAGTCCTGTCATTTAAAATATCAGGACTGATCAAATCCCGAATTTTATTATTTGTTTGTTCTTCAACCCACTGGTTTATAATTCCAGCCGCTTCATCTTTTTTAGAAAAATCGATATTTTTACAATCGGCGTGAAACACCTCACTTGCAATTTTCTTAAAATCTGGCAAAACTGGAAATTTTTCTTTGACGTAAATTTTATTCGCACTGTGGATATCCAAGGTTGGAAGCACAGTTTTGTACAAATTTTGAATTTTGGTTTGATCATTTGGTAAATGGAGTACAGACCGAATTTCTTGAGCTGTTTCATCCCGGCACCCGGATTGGGCTAAAGCCAACACTGTTTCAGCTGATAGTGGACTTATCAGTAGATTTTTACCATTATACTTGTTGTTTTTGAGAATTTCCTACGTTTTGTGTAAGTTTTTAATTGAAATTTAATTCAGTTACTTACTTTATAGAGAGAAGATGCAAACAAATCATTTGATTTTTGGAAATCCTTGTGAATATCTTGGCAAAAAACCGCAGTAATTGCAAATAAAAAGATTAGGAATTGCATCTTTCACAAGTTTCACAGCGACTGTCGCATTTATTTTCTAACTTTAGTTAATTAAAGTTATGTAATCTCTTCTTGCTAGCAAAGGTCACGGCTTTTGTCACAATCAGTTTTTAGTTTTTTTTTAATTAAGAGATTGCATCAATGGAGATTTTGTCAGACACTCTGTATATGAGTTTCGCTTAGAATTAAAGATAATTAGAAGTGTTGTTTTATCTCTTGTGTTTTAAAAGCAGAGTTTATTTCAAATATTGCTCCCATGGGGGGATACTAAAAGAGAGGTGATCAACTGACTTTGCACAAAAGCGTAATTTTCATTTAGCAAACCTTGTCTGTTGAGTGTTAGCATTAGTTATAAAATGCAAAGTAAGAGTTATTCAGTTCTGAAGAGATTCGCTCGATATAATCACAATTTCTTAAAAGATTTTTATTAACAGCAAACCTACAATATTTAACGCAAAATATCAATTATGGATATTACTAAACATTTTTTAGGTGCCACTATACAGGCTGATTTTTGTAGGGCTTACATTAGAAACTTTTCAACTTCTAATGTAGCGACACCTTTGAAATTTTGTATGTAATCAGAATCAATCATTCTCAATTTAATTAAATTAGTTACAAAATAACTGATCTTTCGGAACAATGAGAAATTTGCACCAACTTTGAAATTTTAAATGGAAACCCCCTATTAAAAAACGTACCCAAGTTGTTTGTATAATCACAGCTCTTGAAATCTTTTGCAATAAATGAAATTTGTTTTGCATTTGGTTACTGAAGGTTTGAAAAATCTTCTAAAATAGCTCAAGATTGTCAACTCTGAAATTTCAAGGCTAATATGTTTTTTTTAAAATGGTAATTAAAACAGCTATAACTTAGTTTTTTCAAATAACATCACCCTATTTGCTCTCTATTTTTATAGAAACTTTTATCCTATACCTATCTGCTTCAGTTTTGAAGTAATCACGAAAAACGGGTTTTAACTCTTTATTACCATTGTTAATTAAATAGACTTTGGAAAATGGTCAATAATTGTCACATTTTGACATTTTAACTAGTTTTTAACTTATGTATCATTGAATAAACTGTAAAACAATAATAATAATTCTGGCATATTAGCAACCAAGGTGTATTAGACCTATTTGTAACTTATGTTAATAAAAATCTTCATAAATTTGAAAAAACTAAGTTATAGCTATTTTTGATGACTATTTAAAAAAAATCATATTAGCTTTGAAATTTGAGAGTTGACAATTTTGAGCTACTTTAGAAGATTCTTCAAACATTCAGTTATCCAAAGCAAAAAAAAAATAATTATTGCAAAGGGTTCAAGAGCTGGATTTTTTGAATATACCTTTGCAAATAAAGATTTTGACAAAACAATTGACATATGTCACAAACTATGGCAGATAAGTACCAACAACTCAGTTCGTTTTACTCAGTTTGAGAAAGCAAATTCAAATCTGCAGTCAGACAGAATGGCTACTTACCAAGTAAAATTTCACTTTTTTGTAGTTTTGGAAGTTCAACCACTTTAAAAATAATGTAGTTAAATTAAGAATTGTCGATTTCAATAGCATATTGGAACTTGGAAATTAAAAACTAGACTAATGTAGACCTTTTAAAAATCACCCTGTATATTGTAATTCAAACGTATATGGCGTAACTTTAACATACTCGTACTTTAAAGTTTTTTTTTATGATTTTGTTTCTCATTTTCACTACCACAAAAATTTCATACAGTGTAGAAACATTTATATAAAGTATATGTACTCGTAGCTCTTAAACCTCATTTTAAACAGTTATAACAATCAAAAAGTGTTGTTTTACGAACAGTAGGCACTTAAATTTAATAGTTTAATGAAACGGAAAATAAAAGTATAATTGATTTTCCTCCAAACTTATTTTCAGATTCGATTTTAGTAATTCCCAACCGAATTGTGTGTATTAATAGAAGCATATGTGTAATAAATTCAAGTAATTATAAATCACCTGTCACGGAAAAGCTACTAAACATCCGTCACAATTGTTTCAGACATACTAAAACCATTATAAGAGCATATTAACATTTCACCAGTTATTTGTCATAATAATTTAACGAGGCCAAAAACGCTTCGGTGCTGTACCACAGCTTTTTATCCGTAATAATAACCATTATTGCCCTATAACTCATATTTAATATTTTCCTCGCAAATTTTAACTCATATGTGCATCTAGAAATTAGAAATAAGGCCTATTTTACATGTGATTTATACCATTCAATTAAATTTTTGATTAAAGTAGCATGTGATTTTGAGATTATATTGGCAACATTGAATAATATAAAAACAGAAGACAGTTATGAGACTTGTCGTGGCCGAAAATGAATGTGGCAACAGTGCATTATTGGTGACAGCACTTCTCGGAAATGAATGACAATTGATTATAAAATTGTGACGTTTGAGTTTAATAGTCAATGTTGCCAAATTAAGATTTTGGTCAGGTCTTTACATTATGCAGTGTTGCCAACTTAATTTTAGAATGTGTTGCAATTTATTATTTTGGGAGAGAATCAGAGAGGTTGTCAAGTCGAATACTTTTGAAATAAGTAGGCTTGTGCTCTACTAAAGGGACCTATAACAAGGAATTGAGTCCAAGTCAAGATAGCACTTCAATTTTTCAGAGTAATATTCGTTGCATGTCTATGGAGTTATTCACAGAAACTTCCTCCTAGCGAATCCAATTAAAGTGCTGATGGAAAAAGGCAGGTGTGGAGTCACTTCATGTGGTGAAACTGATAACATTGTACGTACTTTAGTTTCTTGTAGGTATATTGAACCTAAACAGAAACTAGATCAAACTGTTTCAAACATTTTAGGGGAGTAACACATGAATTTAGGTTTATTTAAATTTGCAAATGTGATCGCTTCACATTTATCGCAAAAACATGATTCTGGATTAAGTTAAACGGTGTATGAATATAATTCATTTGCAAAATTACTGGTTTTATGAGAATTAACTGTAACTAGATTTTATACTTTAAGGATTTGTGACTCGTGGCATAAAGTGATTTAAAAACAAAAAAGTTGAGAAGCACTGCAGTAAATTATGATGTGATTGAAATTTTTTTATTATAAATATGTTTTAAAATAAGGTTTATCCAAAAAAACTAATGACAAATCTCAAAACTCGATTGTAACTTTTTAGATGAAAGATAAAATTAGTTTTAGAATTCTTGTTTGAAACTTGTCTAAAAGCTCTACAAATAATTGCCATTCTTGTGAAGTTTAATTTAGAAATCGGCCAGGAAATTGAAAACTTTACTGCTACTTAAATCGACAAAATAATTTATAAATTGCCAATAGTAATCGACTTGTTCTTCAGATGTAAAATTTGTAACACTCAACAAAGACAATGTTTAATCTTTAAACAAATTAAACTGATCATTTTTCTAGTATAAGTAGTAGGTATCTTATTCCCCAATTACGCGTGCTGAATAAATACATAAAAACCCACTTTGGAACAGTAAATTCCCGCTTATGTGATAAGTGATGAATAAATGAAAAAACGGAAACATGTGCGTGCAGTTGAAAGCTTTCACAACGTTGGGATTAAGCATTCAACATCGTTAACACCGACAACAAACAGAAAATGAATCCTTCATTTCTGTTATTCGTCATCAAAGCGTTTTGTCTTCTATGCGAAAACGGTCTTGTCTGGAAAACATTTCCTCTATTAAAGGGAAAATAGTTGGATAGTTGGATACTGAACTGGAATTTATCCTAGGAAAAGTTTCTACAACAGGAAAGAGAAATGTTTTAGCTATGTATGTAATGAAAATTTATGGTTATCGGAAATCAAAAAATTGTATGTATAATCGTATTTCAATGAATTAACATTTCGTGTTTTGTTCGTGATTGAAAATCAAATCGAGATGTTCCAGTAAAGGCAATAACCAGATTGGAGCATGCAAATTGTTATTTTGATATGTAAAACATTATGGTTAGCCAATCTTAATAAACATGCGATTGTTGCAATAGAAAACAATTTAGAATTATTGTTTGTAATCAGAATAGCGAGTACTTTATGTATTCTGTGTTTAGTCAGAATACAAAATTTATAGGGAGTGATTCATCTAAAACTATGAGCTTAACAAACTCAGAGTACATTAATCGTTTATGAGAAAATAGATCAAAAAGAATCAATTATGTTTTCTTATGTGTTGGATGTCTTTGGAAAAAAAAACGTCACCATGAACTGAAAATTTGGCAAATCGACTGTTGTCATTTCGCTAAGGATATTCAAAAATTTAATGAAATAAAATTTATTTATCCACTATCACTCTATAAAGAGACTTTATTCCACATTTTAGGTGCGTATAAAGTACCACTTTATCCACTAGTGGAATAAAGTAACTTTATTCCACTATTAGTAACCAGCACATTTAGGGTGACGTTTAAATGTCAGTTTAATTTTTAATTAAGTTTGGAATAATTTGGGCCTGTGATCGTGGATAAAACGTTATATTGCAGTCGTGTGTTAGTCGCGTTTTATCCACTAACTTAACTGACGTTCTCGCGGTTAAACATTATTGCGTGGATAAAACGCTATCTAACACAATAAATAACTATTCTTGATCAGACATAATTTTCTATGAATCAGTTGGAATTTTTAGGATAAACTTAATACGTTAGGTCCAAGCTAAGACATCCAAATCAATTAAATAAAATTTATAAATAAAAAAAGGCGTCCAAATAGAATTTATTTTTAACACCAATCGATTTTTTTTGTCTTTTAAATTTTGTGACCTCAGAATCAGTCTGGTTGTAGATTGCTGAAAAATAAACTTAAAATAAAACTTAAAAATCTAAGCTTTTTTAAAACTATAAAATTCTGTTTTACTTTGGCCCTTATCTGCCATTAGAATAAGTAGTTTTTAATTGTTATTTATTTATTTTTTGTTATAAAACAACTAAAAACATCTCAATTTACTAATTTGGAAGTAAATCATGTAAATTTTTCTGTTTTTTTTTGTTAGAATTTATAAATAGTATTTTTAAGTTACAACTAAAAGAATATTAAATATGTTGTTGTTTTCTTTACACTTATAACGAACCCTGTATCTTTACAATTTCTAACTGATCAAGTGAAAATAAAAAAGACAAACTACATGAAACACAATTTTGAAGTAACCGTTATTAGTGTATATTATTAGGATGCTTGAAATATCGCTGTAAGTAGGCCTCAGCAAACTTCCTTAACTAAATTTCAGAATAAGAAACTTACCAGTTCCTTTTATTACATTCGAACGACCTGAAACAACTTATAAAAATAAGTAACACATTTATTTTGCCTTTCAGTATTTCGTAAAAGTTTAATAATATAAACTTGAACTAATTTTAAATAAAATTAGATAAATGTTGAATATTGTTTATTTTTGTTTTGTATTTTTTGTTATATTTTAAATGTTTGATATTCTGTTGTTTTTTAAATTATTTTGATTATTTTTTCTTACTCAGTTGCGTGCAGATTTCTCGAGAAGTCTTTTAGACTCAATTATTATTATAAAACCTTGTTGATTACTTGAAACAAGTTGTTATTTACCTACTTATTATTTTAGAAGCAATAGATTTCCTTTCCTAACAGCATAAACAACTTTTCATTCACAATACTCCTCGTGTCTGCTTTGGAAAATATTTACTTACATATTTCTTCTTATTTACGTTTTAGTTTCACGTGCTCGAATTCATCTCACAATTTGGTAATAAATTCAAATTTTATTTTCTCCACTTGATAAACAAGGTAATAAAATGCAATTTTTTTAATCGACTTCTAGTGAGTTCATTAAATTTATACACTTTAATAATATTTACCTACTTTAGTATTACCAAGCTTTAAGTTGTCCGGATGTTTCCGGAATTTACAATGGAGTGGTAACAATAAATTCTCGGATGTGATGCAATAGCTTTCTCAGATGGACGTTTCTCTCGAATTGGTACACCTTGAGTTATTCATGTGGGTTCTACGGCGATTATATGGATAGTGTTGTGTTTTTGTTCTTAGTTGGTACCAAATTTAACACTTGGTTTTTATTTAAAAATGTTATAAATACAAAACTTGAGAGGAAAATGACACTATTCTGTATTGTTCTGTTCTCATTTCTATTCCGGAAGTTTATTCCGAGATATTATGAAGAAATGAAATAATAGTTCACGTGATGATAGATTGACTAATTAGAGATAATGACATGATCGACATTAATTAGTAATATTAAATTCAATATCAAGATATGTAGGTAACCAATGGATTAAGGCTTAACAGGATTAAATCCACTTCAATAAATAACAACACATTTATTGTTTAATAAAAATAAAAAACAGCTCTTCAATGCCACCAAAATGTTCAAAATATTTGTTTTTTTAATTTTATTTTTAAATTATGACTTACTTCCAGGATAATATACAGTAAAGTGAAAGGAATAAATTTATTAATTTGTAAATTGGTCACTTCCATATTTATGAAAAAAAAAACAACTTTGGGTTTGTTATGCAAATACCTATTTTTTATTGCTTTATGTTTGTTAAAAATTGGCCGGAGAATTCTTAAGTGAGACACCCTGTATAGGTAGAAATTTTTTTCTTACATAAAATCAATCAATATTGCTTTAGGCTTATGTTGTAATTTGGCGATTTTTTACCCTTGAGTAAAGCACATTGATCAAATTCAATTCTGATGTAGAAACGCTAAGTTTCTAAGAGCATCAGGAGTTGGGTTAGGAATAGTAATTTACGAGAGTTGGACAAGCGGAAATTGTATTAGATGTAAGCACTGATTTATTAAGATACAAGATTTTGCGACATGTGGCGCATTGCTAAATAAATTGGTGATAAGGGTTCTAATTTAGCCACATGTGTTGAGGATAAATTTAGAATTACAAAACAGGCTCTTTGCTCAACTGAAGAGTTAAGAAAAAAAAAACAGAACAGCTATGTCTGAATAAAAAATAGAGCAATTACTCTTCTTTAACGGCGTTAATTGCCTTATGACTTTCAGCAGTTGTCTGAAAGGGCATCCTGTCATAAGATTGTCTCAAAGCTCTGAATTACGTGCCTGATATAAATGATAAGATAACAGAAGCTGCAAGGAGTAGAATGGTTATTATGTCTGAAACTTTTACAAAGGCGGTTTGAGGTCCTTGGGCAATTTAAAATTGAATCTTGTAAATTTGCTCGATCTAAGAAAATATAATGGTAAAATGTCGGCCTTGGCAATCATACTTTGTTTATTCATGGATGTGATTCATTTGGAAGATATTTGCTTTTATTATCCGGTAAACCGAGTCAATTTGACATTTATTTATGACCTTTCTTTGGACGGTAACAGCAATTTGCCAGCAAATTGAAATATTTATTTTTTCTCTTGTAACATTATTCCGACTGGTGTATTAAGTTGAGAAAATACAACTTCAAAAGAGCTTTTCAACGTCCTTTGAAGCATGATTTTTATCCTTCCAAACTATTAAAAAGTACTGATGTGAAATTTGAATTGCTTTAATTTGAAAAATAAAAGTTTTGTGTCTTGACGTCAAACAACTTTTTAACAAAAATAGTATTGCACACAGTTTCTATTCATTTGGAATAATAAATTTGCAGAAACAAGTTTTACTCCATTGTACTTTTTTAAATTTTCCGTTTATTCAGCTTCATACATGCAAGTAAAATGTTTTAGACAATTGGACGTTTTCTTTATAGAGTTTCTATTCAAGTAAACAATTTTTTTTTGAAGGAATGAGTATTTTTAAGACAAGTTGCAAAGGATAAAATAAAATTTTGCACTACTTGTACATTTTAATCTTTAAATTAAGTTTGTAATAATACAGGATGTGTGAAAACTCGCGCCGCAGAGAAAAATTTCAAGTAAGCTAAGAGACCAGGAACATGGAAAAAATGTTTAAAAAATTCTATCTGTCAAAAAATTTTGACATTTATTTATTTGACATTTCACAGTTTTTTATCTCTATTAAATGATACTGATGATTTTGCAAAAATTTTGCTAATAAAAGCCACAAATAACATTAAGCAGAGTTGCAATTGAAGATGCAGCTTCCTTGTTTCTAAAGTCTGTTTTTTTTTTAAATGGAAATGTCAAACAGTCTTAACGTTGGCATCACTAGTAAATTCATTCATGGTAATTTTAATAAAGGAAGTTAGCAGTTCCGGTTTTTTTAATTAATTTGAAAACAATGTCATTAAACGTCAATACAAAAAATCGTCTAAGAAAATTTAGAGACGAAACACCAAAAAAGAAACAAATTCGGTACACTAACAGTTTTGCGAAGTTTGGAAACGAATAGTTCGCAAGCAGGAAGTTAGAAAAAGGACCCGTTAAAATGTAGACGCAATTTGTAATGCAGGTTTGCTAAATATTCTTAATTTTTAGCAAGAAATTGACAAGAATACAAAATAAACATGAATGAGAAAGAACCTCGGAAAAAACGCAATTAAATTAGTGTCTTGTGCATCGTTTTTGAGGAATGAGTTGTAATAATTTTGAAACTAAAGCTGAAGAGGAATTTATAAAATGCATCAACTTAGATCTCATTTCAATCAATTACACAAAATTTATTGCCAATCATCATAATACCTACTTGTATCTTTTGCTAAATAACTTTTCTGTATATAATCCTTTTTCTTCAAAGTTTTTGTAGCAAGAACCTCATTTTTGCCCACTTACTTGCGGTGTGCTTCTATCAAAATTATAAACACTGTATTCTGTCTTTAGACCATAAGTAATGATGTCTGTCCTCAGGTATTCAATTATAGCGCTTTCAAAGAGCAAACAGGCACACAAGATTCATAAAAGTCAAAATTTTGACAACATTTCAATTTGAACACATAACCATAATTTTTTAAGAAAATTTTAAAGGACTAAAACCACAGAACACCTACAAAATAGAACGCCTACTTAATGGTTTTAAAAAGTTTCTTTGTGGCGTCATCATACGTCCGGCCCGTGAACTAGAAAAGGCGGCAATTTTGAAAATATGTTTTGTTTCAATTTATTATTTTTTATTAAAAT